CACTAGCCAAATGGTTCAGTTGGTTGGAGAGTTGTTCTGGACATGCATAATGGTTGCATATATGACGCCTGGACCAGCGCACACACACACACACGCACATACACACACACACACACACACACGGGCACTGCTTGATGTTTCTCCCTCACCTTGATGTTTCTCTCCTGCACTATCCTTTCTCCCATCCTGTCTCTATAAAAAAAAAATCAATAAGTATATCTTTGGAAGAGGTATTTATAAATAGAAGCACATATATAAAATTTTTAATTACAAAAGTAAAATTAAATACATATCATAAAAAGCAAAGCAGCTTACTAGTACACTTAGCAGAGCAGAGGAGGACTCAGGCCGATGGGAAAGAGACCACCTGGGCATGCCCACTGGGGAGCTAGGAGCGGCCCACTGCGCCTGCGCTGGGCCACCTGGCTGCAGGCGGGAAAGGCGGCGGCGGCAGCCATCTTGGAAGGCGTTCCAGACTCCATCGCTGGCCTCACCACCCTCTCCGGCTCCGCGACCGCTGTGTTGCCGGCTCCGGCAGGTCACCCTCAGAGGCGGTAAGGGTAGCAGGGGCCCCATATTGCACTGAGGGGTGTCTCTGCTCCGGGCTGACCTGGCCCCGCTTCCCCCGCGGACCTTCTCTCGGCCGGCCGGACAGAGGGGCGTCACGGAGGGACGGGAGCCTCCGGATGCTCCAGCGGGGTCTCCGCGGGCCCAACAGCGGGGACGGGCCCGGGCTGAGGGTCTGCACGGCGCTCTCTCTCTCTCTCTCTCTCTCTCTCTCTGGGCTGCTCGGCAGAGCAGAACGAGCGCTGCCCCCGGCTGTCCGTCCGTCCGTCCGTCCGTCCGTCCGTCCGTCCGTCCGTGAGGAGCCGCCATGCTGCTCCTCCTCCGGCGGCAGACCCCGCACTGAGCGGCCCGCAGCCCGGGCCGGTGTCACGGGAGCTGGGAGCCACCACAGGGCTCTCGGGCCTCCCCTGTGCCCTCCCCCTTCCTGGCTGCATGCCTGTGGGCCATGTGCTCCTGCCCAGTGGGAATGTGCTCCTGCCCGGCGGGAAGCGTGCTCCTGCCCGGCGGGAAGCGTGCTCCTGCCCAGTGGGCCATGTGCTCCGGCCCGGCGGGAAACATGCTCCTGCCCAGCGGGAAGCGTGCTCCTGCCCAGTGGGCCATGTGCTCCTGCCCAGCGGGAATGTGCTCCTGCCCGGCGGGAAGCGTGCTCCTGCCCGGCGCGAATGTGCTCCTGCCCGGCGGGAAACGTGCTCCTGCCCGGCGGGAAGCGTGCTCCTGCCCGGCGGGAGTGTGCTCCTGCCCGGCGGGAGTGTGCTGCCCAGCGGGAAGGTTCCTTCTTCTTGTGCCAAGTGCCTTCCGTGGCAGACGGCACCCCGTGTTCCATCCACCTTCTACCGTCCTCTTGGCCTGGGAAACCCTCCAGAGACCCCAGTGCCCTCACTCAGGGGAGCCCGGCACCTGCCCTGAACCCTCCCTTCTCGGCAGGCAATGGATATGTGAATGGTCCTGGGGTCTCAGGGAGCCCAGCCCTCTTGGCCCTCCCCATTTCCAAAGGACCCGGGACTGGCCTCCACCTCACTCATCGGAGCAGTCTTCATTTGCTTGCAGCAGGAAAACCCCACATGCCTTTGCCGGAGTCCACACCACATGGTCCCTGGGCTTCCCTCCCAAGGCCTTTGGCAGCAAAACACACCCTCAGTAACACAGAGCCCTCAGTTGCTGCCTGCACAGCAGGAGCTTGTTATCTTTCCTTCAGGAAGCACTTTCCAGACAAACCACCAACCCTTAACAGTGACCAAGCCCCCTTAAATCCAGGGCTCCTTGGATCATGGCCCCAGGAAACCTGTCCTCCCAACCAGTTGCTCTCTCAGGGACTTCGGCCTTTTTCTCTCTCACCACCCCATGTCCTCCCTCAGGGACCAATAAGGCAGGACGGAGAACAGAGAATATGTTTTTTATTGTTCACCCTATTACGGAAGACCCACATTTCCCCCACTAGGTCCCCCTCCACCCATTGCCCCCTCTCTGCTCCCCTGGTCTTCAGCACACTGATGCCTGGGACCATGTGCTCTGCATGTATGTTCCTTGGATACTCTCTTCACTTTATTTATCCAGCCCCAACACATCCACCTTCCCTCTGGCCTTTGTCAGTATTTTTCACGTATCCATGCCTCTGGTTCTATGTTGTTCATCAGTTTATTTTGTACATTGGATTCCACATATAAGTGAGATCATGTGGAATTTGTCTTTCTCTGACTGGTTGATTTTGCTTACCATAATAATCACCAGGTCCATCTATGCTGTTGGAAATGGTAAGAATTACTTCCTTTTTACCGCAGCAGAGTATTCCAGTGTGTAGATGTACCAGTTTTCTAATACACTCATCTGCTGATGGGCACTTAAACTGTTTCCAAATCTTAGCTATGGTAAATTGTTCCGCTATGAATGTAGGGGTGCATATGTCCTTATGATTCATGTTTCTAGTTTCTTGAGATATAATCTTAGAATTGGGATCAGTGGGTCAAATGGGAGCTCCACTTTTGTTTTTTGAGGAAACTCCATACTGTTCTCCACAGTGGCGGCACCAGTCTGTCTTCCAACCAGCAGTGCACGAGGGTTTCTTTTTCTCTGCATCCTCACCAGCACTTGTAGTTTGTTGATATGTTGATGATAGCCATCTGACAGGTATGAGATAGTACCACATTGTCGTTTTGATTTGCATCTCTTGAATAGTCCTTTGAGCATGTTTTCAGTTGTTTCTTGGCCATCCTGAGTTCTTTCGAAAAGTATCTATTTACTGTAAGTATGCTGTCCATATTTTGATTGGATTGTTTATCTTCCTTTTGTTAAGTTGTATGAGTTCCTGTAGATGTTGGAGATTAAACCCTTATCAGTAATAACATTGGCAAATATGTTCTTCCATGCAGGGGGCTTTCTTGTAGTTTTGTTGATGGTTTCTTTTTCTATGCAAAAGATCTTTATTTTGATGTAGTCCCACTTGTTTATTTTCTCTTTATTTTCTAGTGCCCTAAAAGTGGTATCGGTGAACAAATTGCTTCGACATATGTCTGAGATTTTGCTGCTTGTGGATTCCCCTAATATTTTTATAGTTTCCCAACTTACGTTTAAGTCCTTTATCCATTTGGAGTTTATTTTATTGTATGATGTAAGTTGGTATTCTAGTTTGATTTTTTTTCATATAATTGTCCAATTTTCCCAACAGTGTTTATTGAAGATACTGTCTTCACTTCATTGTATGTTCAAGACTCTTTTGTCAAATACTAGTTGAGCATAGTGGTTTGGATCAATATCTGGATTCTCTATTCTATTCCAATGATCTATATGTCTGTTCTTGTGCCAGTACCAGGCTGTTTTGAGAACAGTGGCTTGGTAATATAGCTTGATATCTGGTATTGTGATCCCTCCAAATTTGTTCTTCTTTCTCAGGACTGCTATGGCTATTCAGGGTCTTTTTATTCCAGATGAATTTTTGGATAGTTCTTTCTAAGTCTGTGAAATATGCCACTGGTATTTTAATGGGATGTGCATTGAATCTATAGATTACTTTGGGTAGTATGTACATTTTAATGTTGTTGATGCTACCAATCCATGGACATGGTATGTTCTTCCATCTGTTTATGTCTTCCTCTATTATTTTTTTTTCAGTGCCCTGTCGTTTTCTGAATACAGGTTTTGTACCTCCTTGGTGAAGTTTATTCCTAGGTATCTTAATCTTTTTGTGTACCACATCTTTTAAAACTAATAGACTTAATTTAAAAAAAAAAACTAATAGACTTAATAAATGAATTTGGCAATGTAGCAGGATACAAAAATAATGCCAAGAAATCTATGGCATTTCTATACACCAATAGTGAACTTACAGAAACAGAGACTAAAAAAGCAATCCCCTTTACCATTGCACCAAAAAAATTAAGATATCTACAAATAAACGTAAATAAGGAGGTAAAAGACCTATATGTGGAAAACTACAAGACACTGAAACAAGAGATAGAGGAAGATATAAATAGCCGGGAGGGTAGGGAGATCTGGGGAGATAAGAGATCAACCGAAGGACTTGTATACATGCATATAAGTACAACCAATGGACACAAAACTCTGGGGAGGGAGGGTATGTATGGGAGGGGGGAGCAATGTTAAAATATGTACACAGATAATAATTTAATTAAAAGGTGTCACTCATAGTATTAAATTTGCTAATATAAATTGAACAAATAAAGCTAGGATGTGTATGTAGTACAGGTGGGAGGTGAATCACATGTCACAGCAACTATAAGATAAAAAATAGAATCTCAAAGCAATGTTATAGGTTAATTTTTTTAATAAATAAAACACAGTCAATAATAAAACTATAGAAAAAATGAAAAAAAAAATTGACATTTATTATTAAAAGTATTACAGATGTGTCCCTCCCCCTCCCCATTGTCCCTACCCTCCTGCCCTCTCCCCCCAGGCCTTCACCATACTATATTTCCAGTGTCCATCAGTAGCACATTTTTTACCCACTCATCTATGATGGGCAGTTGGGTTGTTTTCACATCTTGGCTATTGTAACTGATGCTGATATGAAACTCTCGGTGCATATATTCTTTCTGATCGGTGTTTCTGGATTCTTACAATATATTCATAAAAGTGGGATCACTGAGTCAAATGGCAGTTTCATTTTTGTTTTTTGTTTTTCTTTTTTAGGAAACTCCACACTGTTTTCCACAGTGGCTGTACCGGTCTGCATTCCCACCAGCAGTGCACGAGGGTTCCCTTTCCTCCATATCCTTGCCAGCTCTTGTTTGTTGTGTTACTGATGGTAGCCATCCTGGCAGGAGCGCGGTGATAGGACATTGTAGCAAAAGCAGAATCTTAATTCCAGGACACTCTGAGCTTGACCCTGCCTCAGCGCTTCATCCCCACAGGACCTTGGGCTGGGTGTCCTCAGAGACTTCGTTGTATCCCTTCAAGATCACAGCACACCCAGAGGCATGAGCAGAGACAGCTCCTTGGATAACAACCCCATGGAGGACTCCCAGAATTCAGAGGAGACACGCGAGGTGAGGAGACTGGGGTGTATCATGAAGTGACAAGGCACAGGGCAGGGTGACTACATTTCTGAGGACATGAGGTCACAGACAGGGAGGCCAGCCAGCAGCGTTCCATGGTGGGCAGAGATCCCAAGCCTCAGGAGCTTCCCACCCTCACGTGGCATTTGCCTAGCGTCCCTGAAGTAAACAAGGCCTGTGACCTTGGCTGCACTTGGTGACTCTCAGTCCATTCTGGAAGGTGGGAGGAGAGCCCACCAGCAGCATGGATCACCTGCTGCATGCAGGGGAGAGGCTGAGCCTGGTTACCCTTGTCCTCTCAGTTCCCTGTGACATCAACCAGGGGGAACTCTTAGCTCCAGTTTACAGGTTCTGCAGCACAGGAAGAGGGCAGGCTAAAGGGAAAGCATTTTCACCTGAGCGGCTGCAGGGATTCATTTTTTTTTTCTTTTCTTAGGCATTCAAGGATATTCGCAAATACTTCTCTGAAGAAGAGTGGGCAAAGCTGGGAAACTCAGAGAAAAGAACCTGTGTGTGCATGAAAAGAAACTATGAAATCATGAGTCGTCTAGGTAACAGAAATTCTTTGTTCGGAAAAAGGCTCAGGGCCAGATGTGGTCAATGAGATACTCAGACCTCGACCCTGCATGGTTCACTTTTTCTTTTTTTCCATTTTTTATTAAGGTATTATATGTGTACATATTTTACCATTGCTCCCCCCAACCCACTCCCATATGTGCCTTAACCCCCAGCATTTTGCGTCCACTGGTTATGTTTAATGCATGCATACAAGTCCTTCAGTTGATCTCTTATCTCCCCCACCTCTTCCTAACCTTCCCACTGTAATTTGAGAGTCTATTTGATACTTTATTGTCTCTATCTTTTTGTTCATCTATTTATAATGTTCTTTATTATCCATAAATGAGTGAGATTGTGTGGTATTTTTCTTTCATGGAATGGCTTATTTCACTTAGCATAATGTTCTCAAATTCCATCCAGGTTGGTGCAAATGGTAAGAATTCCTTCTTTTTTATGGCAGCATAGTATTCCATTGTGTAGATGTACCGTAGTTTTCTGATCTAGTCATCTGCTGATGCACACCTAAGCTGTTTCCAAATCTTAGCTATTGTGAATTGTGCTGCAGTGAACATAGGGGTGCATATATCCTTTCTGATTGGTGTTTCTAGTTTCTTAGGATGTATTCCTAGGAGTGGGATCAATGGGTCAAATGGGAGTTCCATTTTCATTAGGAAACTCCATACCGTTCTCCACAGTGGCTGCACCAGTCTGCCTTCCCACCAGCAGTGCACGAGGGTTCCTTATTCTCCCCATCCTCGCCAACACTTGTGATTTATTGATTTGTTAATAATAGCCATTCTGACAGGTGTGAGATGGTACCACGTTGTCATTTTGATTTGCATCTCTCTGATAATTAGTGACTTTGAGCATGTTTTCATGTGTCTCCTGGCCTTCCTTCTGTCTTCTTTCAGAAATATTCTATTTAGATTCATTGCCCATTCTTTTTATTGGATCATTTATCTTCCTTTTATAAAGTTGTGTAAGTTGCCTATAGATGTTGAAGATTAAACCTTTACCAGGGATAACATTTGCAAATATGTTCTCTCATACAGTGGGTTTTCTTGTTGTTTTGTTGATGGTTTCTTTTGCTGTAAAAAAGCTTTTTATTTTGATGTAGTCCCATTTGTTTACTTTCTTTTTGGCTTCCATTATCCTAGGGACAGAATCAGTGAAGAAGTTCTTTCAGCATGTCTGAGATTTTGCTGCCTATGGATTCCCCTAGTATTTTTATGGTTTCCTGTCTTATGTTTAAGTCCTGTATCCATTTTGAGTTTATTTTTGTGTATGGTGTAAGTTAGTGATCTAGTTTCATTTTTTTTTTTGCATGTATCTGTCCAATTTTCCCAACACCATTTGTTTAAGAGACTGTCTTGACTCCATTGTATGTTCATGCTTCCTTTTTCAAATAGTAATTGAGCATAGTGGTTTGGGTCAATATCTGAATTCTCTATTCTGTTCCATTGAACTATATATCTGTTCTTGTGCCAGTACCAGGCTGTTTTGAGAACAGTGGCTTTGTATTACAGCTTGAAATCTAGTATTTAGATTCCACCTACTTTACTCTTCTCAGGATTGCTGTGACTATTCTGGGTCTTTTTTATTCCAGATAAATTTTTGAAGAGTTCTTTCTAGGTCTGTGAAATATGCCATTGGTATTTTAATGGGGAGTGCATTGAATCTATAGATTGCTTTGGGTAATATGGACATTTTAATGATGTTGATGCTACCAATCTATGGACATGGTATGTTCTTCCATCTATTTACATCTTCCTCTATCTCTTGTTTCAGTGTCTTGTCATTTTCCACATATAGGCCTTTTACCTCCTTAGTTAAGTTTATTCATAGATATCTTAATTATTTTGGTGCGATGGTAAATGGGATTGCTTTTTTAGTCTCTCTTTCTGTAAGTTCACTATTGGTGTATAGAAAGACCATAGATTTCTTTGCATTATTTTCTTATCTCTCAATTTGTTTATGTGATGTATCACATTTATTGATTTGCGGATATTATATCATCCTTGCATTCCTGGGATAAATCCTACTTGGTCATGGAGTATGACCTTTCTGATGTACTGCTGGATCTGATTTGGTAAAATTTTGTTGAGGATTTTGGCATCTATGTTCATGAGGGATATTGGCCTATAATTCTCTTTCTTTTCTTTTTCTTTCTTTCTTTCTTTTTTTTTTTTTTTTTTTTTTTTTTGCCTTTATCTGGTTTTGGTATTAGGGTGATGCTGGCTTTATAGAATGAGCTGGGAAGTGTTCCTTCCTCTTGAATTTTATTCAAATAGTCTGAGGAGGATAGGCTTTAGTTCTTCCTTGAATGTTTGGTAAAACTGCCCTGTGAAGCCATCTGGCCCAGGGCATTTGTTTGCCGGAAGCTTTTTGATGACTTCTTCAATTTCTTACATAGTTATTGGCCTATTGAGCTCTTTGGATTCTTCCTGATTGAGCATGGAGGGTTATATTTTCCTAGGAATATGTCCATTTCCTCCAGGGTATCCAGTATGTTGAAATAGAGTTGTTCATGATACTTTTTAACAATCCTTTGTATTTCGGAGGGGTCTGTTGTTATTTCACCTCTTTCACTTCTGATTTTGTTTATTTGGGTTCTCTATCTTTGCTTCTTGGTCAACCTGGCTAGAGATTCATCAATCTTATTTATCCTTTCAAGGAACCAGCTGTTGATTTTGTATATCTTTTGTATTGGTTCTTTGGTCTCTATGTTGTTTATCTCCACTCTGATCTTTATTTCTTACCTTCTGCTTACACTGGGATTTTCTTGTTGCTCTCTTTTGAACTCTATGAGTTGTAGGATTAGGTAATTTATTACCATAGTTTCTTGCTTTATACAGTAGATTGGTTTAGCTATTAACATCCCTCTCAAGACTGCTTTCTCTGTGTCCTATAGATATTGGATTGTTGTGTTTTCATTCTTGTTTGTTGCCATGATGTTTTTATATTTCTTCTTTGATCTGTCTGGTAAGCCAGTCATTGTTTAATAGCATGCTACTTAGTCTCCATGTGTTTGATTTTTTGGATTGTTTTTATTGTAGTTGATTTCTAGTTTAATGCCACTGTGATCTGAGAAGATGCTTGGTATGATTTCTATCTTCTTGAATTTGAAAAGACTTTGCCTATGTCCCAACATATGGTCTATCTTTGAAAATGACCCATGTGCACTTGAGAAGAATGTATATTCTGTGGCTTTGGGGTGAAATGTTCTGAAAATGTCAATTAATTCTATCTGGTCTAGTGAGTCATTTAGGATAGACATTTCTTTGCTGATTTTTTGTTTAGAGGGTTTATCCAAGGGGATAGTGGGGTATTAAAGTCTCTTACTATGATTGTATTGCTGTCAGTCTCTCCCTTGATATCCTCTAGGAGTTTTTTATGTATTTGGGTGCTCCTGTAATGGGTGGATATATGTTTACCAGAGTTATTTCTTCTTGTTGGATTGCTCCCTTTAGTATTATGAAGTGGCCTTCCTTATCTCTTGTTATGTCCTTCACTTTGAGATCTAATTTGTCAGATACAAGTATTACTACCCTAGCTTTTCTTTCATTTCCATTCTCCTGGTAAACCTTTTTCCAACCATTCACCCTCAGTCTGTTCCTTCTTCACTTCCTATTTCTTTTTTTTTCTTTTTTTTTTTTTTTACAACAGACCCTTTTTAGCATTTCTTGCATTGCTGGTTTGGTGGTGATAAATTTCCTTAGTCCTTTTTTGTCTGTGAAGCTCCTGGTTTCACCTTCAAGTTTGATTGATAGCTTTGCTGGGTGCAGTATTCTTGGATTCAGACTCTTCCTTTTCATGACTTTATATTTCATTCCATTCCCTTCTGGCTTGATGAGTTTATTTTGAGAAATCAGTTGCTGGTCTGATGGGGGTTCCTTTATATGTAACTTTCTGTCTCTCTCTGGCAGCTTTTGAGATTCTTACTTTGTCATTGGTGTTTGCCAATTTAATTATAATGTGCCTTGATGTCGGTCTTTTGGGGTTCATTTTGCTTGGGACTCTGTGAGCTTCTTGAATTTGTGTGGGTTTTTTCTTCCCTATATCAGGTAAGTTTTCTGTCATAATTTCTTCAAATGGGTTTTCTATTCCGTGCTCAGTTTCATTTCCTTCTGGAACCCCTATTATGCAGATGTTTTGTTTTGTGTTTTCCCAAAGTTCCTTTAGACTCTCCTCCTGATTTTTTTTTTTCTATAAGCTGCTCTACTTGGGTATTTTTTTCCATCTTGTCTTCTAGCTCACTGATGTGGTTCTCTGTTTATTCTAGTATACTCTTGATACTTTCTATGGAGTTTTTTACTGCAGCAATGTCATTTTTCATTTCTTCTTGGTTTTTCATTTCCTCTTGGGTCTTCATTTCTTTGATTTTGTCTTCCATTCTTTTCAGCCACCTTATGACCATTTCTCTAAATTCTTTCTGATAGGTTCTTTTCCTCTATGTCATTTACTTCCTTTTCTTGTGATGCCTGCTTTTCTTTCACATGTGGACTGTTTCTTTGTCTGCCCATGGTATCTCTTCTCAGGATGTCTGGTTAGGTAGTTCTCTCTCTCCTGCATTGACTTAAAGGCACAAAATATAACACAACCAGGTACAACACACAAGGCACTGACCAGAAATGTATTCACAATATTAATAACCTTCCATAAAAGTGACCACCAGAGAAAAGCAAATTAGGGGATAGGAGAGAAAAAAAAAAAGAAGAGTAAAAAGAAAGGGGGAAAAAGAATGTCAAAATAAATTTGGGAAAAGAAAAAAAAAGTAAGAGTGACAAGAATGAGACTAAGAGAGAAAAGAGGAACCAACTATATATATGGGGAGAAAACTTCAATAGAACAACCACTAATTTCAGCAAATACCAGCAACAAGTACCTGGAGATTAATACAAACTACAACACCAACTAATATTAAGCAAGGCAAGGGAAAACAGAAGTAAAAAATAAATTAATTAATAAATTAATAAATAAATATAAAGCAAACAAAAAAAATAAGCAAAACAATCTCACAAAAAGCATAAAAATTTGATATAATCAACATTCAAGCAAACAACAAAATAACAGAGAAAAACAATTGTTTGATAGTTAAGACAGTGAAGAGAGAATTGTGTATGGACTTGGAGCAGGGGATTTGAAATTAGATATATAAGTATGGTGAAATTTTAGCAGGGGGTAAACAGAAAGAATAGGGAAAATCTAAAGCAGAAAATGGTTAAGATAAACAGGACACCAAAAGGGGAAAGGTTAGGAAGAGAGTGATGGTATAAAGGTAGAGTTGAGATAGGGTAAAATGATGTTAAAGGAAAGATGAAAATAGAATGTAGAATACTAATCCCAAAGTAAAATAAAGAGAAAATAAATGACACTTTTAAAGAAACATAAAATAGTAGTAATAATACTAATTGAAAATAAAAATGTAATAATTAAAAAGGTGAAATCAAGTGAGGAAGAAAGGAAAAAAAATAGCCAATACTGGTTTGGCTCAGTGGATAGAGCATTGGCCTGTGGACGGAAAGGTCCCGGGTTAGATTCCCGGCAAGGGCATGTACCTTGGTTGTAGGCACATCCCCAATAGGGGGTGTACAAGAGGTAGCTGATTGATGACTCTCTCTCATCAATGTTTCTAACTCTCTATCCCTCTTTCTTCCTTTCTGTAAAAAAACAATAAAAATATTTTTTAAAAATAGTTTCTTAGTAAACAATGCAAAAAATGAAAATAAAAAAATAAAAATTTAAAAAATGTGCAGTAGTGAAGGTCATTCACTTCCTCTTTTGTTCTGTTTGTCACGCCTGTTTCCCAGTCCAGACAGTATTGCCTGTTCTCTGTGTTTCACTGCTCCTCAGTGTTGTAAGCCAGTCCTGGTTTTTAATCAGGCAGTGTCTTAATTTATCGTATTGGTTTATTTTTGATTACACAAGAGTCAATTTGTTATTCAGCCCCTTGTTGGCAGTGTTTCTGGATTGACTTCCCAGTCAATCTGTGACCTCTCCAGCCTTCTTTCCCTGTGGTATTCAATACCGGTTTGTGGAGGTGGGCTGCCTCAGAGCTGGCTCTCTCATGGGCACTTCCTGCTCCAATCCCCAGGTTCCAGAAAAACAACTTCCCCCTGCACTCTCCCAGGTATCCCCAACTGGGTTATCCTATGTATTGGGCTTAGTAATCAGAAGCGGAAAAAGCCCAAGTGTGCAGTCAGTGGGTCTGCACGCAAGTCTAAGCAGCCTGCACTCCCCTGAAATTCTTAGGCTGTCCCTTTGCGTCAGATCAAAATGGGTTGCTTTCCAGAGATCCCTTCTGTTAGCAGCTCCGAGGACCGCCCCCCTCCACATTTACAGATCACTCCAGCTCCAACAGCCACAGATTTTTCTAGACACAGACTTCCCCAAATGGTCCTCCACCTCCCACTAAGTGTGATTTCTTTCTCCCGCAAGGACCAGAGACCTCACCTTATCCCAGGCGTAATCTGACCTTTCCGTGGTGGAGTGTAGAGCTCCTTTGAATCCGCATGTTTGTGCCAATTGGGGACCGGTGTTCTGGGGCTCCCAGCTATTTGATGGTTGCCACAGTTATGGATTTTCAGGCTTCCTATAACATCCACTTTACCTTTTAAGATGGCACAGTTTCCACTTCTGAGCCTGTAGCTGCCAGGTGAGGGGAACCCATCCAGCAGTCCCCCACCTTCTCCTGGAGTTTAGCCATCCCTTAACTTGCTAACAAACACTCCCCATGTGATCCTAAGCTGTACTTTCTTTCTGCTTCAGGAAAAGGCTCAGAATACATGTCTATTCTGCCTCCACTTTTCTCCTCCTGCATGGTTCACTTTCAATGGCCTTTGTTGCATCCCCCCTCCTGATGACCTTTACTGTCCCTACTGCTTTCCAGTATCCACCCTCCTTTCAGGTTAAGCGTCAAATATTTTTCTTCTAGGTTTCATGATCAACTGCCCAGATTTCATGCGTCCTAAGAATTGGACCACAAAATCTCCTGAACATGATTCTGATGAAGATCAAAACCCCGGGAATCAGGGTGAGTCATAGAAACAGCCTGGAAATTATCTGTGAGGCCTAAATTCTTCAGGATCCAGTTGCTCAGGGGGGGAAAAAATTCTCGTGGGTATTATTAATTTTTTTGCCACTTGTAAGCCATTTTATTTTTTAATTTCTTTTATTGTTGAGAGAATTACAGATTTCCTCCATTTTGTCCCCCTTTGCCTCCCTCCATCTATCTCCCACTCCATCCCAAGCCTTCACCTGTCTATTGTCTATGTTAATGGACTATAACTATATGTACTTCGAAATCAACTTCATCATTTTCACCATCCTTCCAAACTTGCCTCCCTTCTGGCAACTGTCAAAATGTTCTCTGTTCATGGAAGTATACTTCTGTTCTGCTTGTTCATTTATTTTTATTTTTAGAGTCAATTGTTGATAGATGTGTATTAATTGCTATTTTATTGTCCTATTCTTGATCTTTTTTCTTAGTAAAGAATAACTATAAAAGTTTCATATAATACTGGTTTGGTGGTGATGAACTCCTTTAGCTTTACCCTGCCTGAGAAACTCTTTAACATTCAGTTCCAAATTATAACTGTGCTGAGTTGAGTAATCTTGATTGTAGCTCCTTGTTTTTCATCACTTTGAATATTTCTTTCCATTCCTTCTAGCCTGCAAAGTTTCTGTTGAGAAATCACTTGACAGAGGCATGTAGTCTATCTAAGTCAGTTCCTTGAGGATCATTAAAACCGTTGTTTTGAACTCTGAGTCTGGTAGTTAGCTTGCTTCCATTTCATTTAGTCCTTTTTCTGGAGATTTCTCATGTTATTTCATTTGTAAACTGGTTCTTATCTCTGAATTTAGGCTGTTTCCCTGTGTTTGTGTCTAAGTATTAGGTAAAGCTGCTATGTCTCCTGGACTTGGAAGAGTGGCCTTCTGTAGTAGATGTCCTGTAAGGACCAGTGGTTCAGCCTCCCAGTCACCTGAGCTAGGCACTCCAGATGTGCCACTGTAATTCAGCCTTGATTGATGATGGCATCATTGGGAGGGATTGCCCTCAGGCCAATAGCTTTCGAGGATCAGCCTCCACAGCATCAGAAGAACTGCTGGACAGGAGCCTACCCTATGGAGCAGGACATGATTCAGTGGGGCTTTGATGCTCACTGAGTTTGCCCTTTGAGTGTGTCACTCTTGGAGGTGGTAGTGTTGTAATCTGGCATGGTCAAAGCTGACCACTTGGAGCAATGGCTCTAGAACCACCTATGTAGTGCAAAATCAACCACATCTGCCGGGTCGGGTGCGGCCAGGCCCGGAGCAGCGGCTGCCAGGCTGGGAGCGGCCAGGCCCAGGGGAGCAGCTGGGTCGGGTGCAGCCAGGCCCGGAGCAGCGGCTGCCAGGCTGGGAGCGACCAGGCCCGGAGCAGGCGGGTTGGATGCAGCCAGGCCCGGAGCAGTGGCTGCCAGGCTGGGAGCGACCAGGCCCGGAGCAGCAGCAGCCAAGTCCAGAGCAACTAGGCCGGGAGCGGCACTGACCAGACCCGGAGCAGCTGGTTGTGGAACGAACCAGAGCAACAGAGGCCAGGCCCTGTTCAGCCAGGCCCGGAACAGCTCGCTCCTCGCCTGCCCCTGCCCCACGGCTGCCTCTCAGACATGGCTGGAAACTTTCGTGGGAACTTGAGGGTCTGCTGAATCAAGTGATGAAGGCTTAGATCTGGATGTGTTGAGTTAGTATAGGGCTGGGATGTTGATCTGTGAGTGCCTTGGGTGGGACCTGGATGAGGCTAGTTGACCTATTGGGAAATGTCTTTTGTGTGAAGTGTATCGTTGGGCATGTGGAGGTATTATTGATATGAGAAAATGCTAAGTAACTGATTTACTATCTGAAAAGGGATTTACTATCGGGGAAAGGGAGGGAAGAAGAGACTGAACATAAACTGTGCACCTATGGATGAGGACAATGGGGGATGGGGAGGGGGCGGAGGGTGGGGTGGGAACCTGGTGGAGGGGGGAAGAAATGAGGAACCTTTGTAATAATATGAACAATAAAGATTGATTTAAAAAAAAAAAAAAATCAACCACTTCCTGTGCCCTGCCTGGGGCCACCCAGCATGAGCGATAAAGCAACCTACAGATGGCTGCTACTAATGTTGGGAATGGAGGTGTCCAGGAGGGGCCAAGCTCTGAACCAAGGTGGGTTGCTGCTAGAGACTGGCTTAGGGTTGCTTATTTAGAGGTTCAGAGCACACTGAGGGCAGTTGCTGCTTGTTTGGGAAATTTTAGTAAAATCCAAAACTTGAGGCAAGAGAGGCTATTTGTATGGGAAAGCCACTGGAAATGGCTTGGATGAACCTGCAAGTAAGGAGGGGCAGAGTCTCAGAGGACCACCAGGATGGGTCAGAAAATGTGAGCCAGGTGATAGAGACTCAGATATGGTTCCCTGTCTGCTGGTTCTGTGACTGGAGGGATCAGAAGAGGAACAATGTCCTCTGCCAGGATTTCTGTCTGGGAGAAAGCTGCTCCCGTCCTCATTTCAGGTAAGTTACTTTCATCCCGAATGTCCCAGGTTCCTTTGAAGCTGCTGCCCCAGTGCTGGAGCTCCTAGGATCCAGGAAAAATGAGACTAATCCCTGGCTTGGCAGGCTGAGGGAAAGAAAGAACCACATAGTCTATGAAGAGATCAGTGACCCAGAGGAAGATGACTAAGTACGTAAGTGGTCTTTGCTTCCAGCCCACACCACTGCAAACCACACTGTTCTCATAGTCACACCTTGTCATTCCTTCCCAAAATCGTTCCTTAGCCAAGACCCTTGGAGTGCAGCATTGACACTAAATGACCAGGCTTCCCTCCCTCTTTCTACTCCCTGCTCTGTGTAGCAGGGATCTCCCTACCCAGGATGCCCTGGGCCTCCCCTCTGGTCTGCTCCTGAACTATAGGCCTCAGCTGCCTCTAGCCTAGCAACTCATACAACAGGTGAGAGTCCGTGTGGCATGAGCAGAAGATTCACTTTGAGGAGCGGTGGGTGATGTGTGCACAGCATGTGGTGGGGAGGAATCTGAGTGCTCAGGATCCTGCAATCAGATGAGGGGTTGGGTGTTAAGGATCAGGCAAGGGGGGCTCACTGCCACTTCTTTTCCTTCTCTCTCCTTGTCTCCACCTCAGGGATATGACAAGTGGCTATGAAGACAAGCAGAACCTGCTGGCCCTTCGTGACCATGGGCACGACTGTGAACTACTGGCCATCAGGGGTGCAGCAATTAAAAGAAAGGTTCCCAGTCATTAAGAGTTTGTTTCTTAATGTGTGACAAGTGATCTGTTTGATGTTCGCTATACAAGGTATAGTAATGCCTCTACTTAATGCATGTTTGTGTCCATGTCTCCATGCACTTACCTTGGGAAACAGCACTGGCAGGTGTTTCTGCACAGGGGAGCACTATCCTTCCTCTCCCCAGATGTGACTTGTAAGGCATTCCAAGAGTTGGATTCCAGAAGCTTTCTCTGCATTTGTATACACCCACCCAGGTACAAGCGCGCGCGCGCACGCGCATACACACACACACACACACACACACACACACACTACGGTTTGACTGTGGGCATCTTCTATTTGCTTTCTCTACTAAGTGTTCTGGGCATGCTCCTCTTGTTCTGTTCTGCAGTTGTTCTGTGTTGCGAACCCCGACTACTCATTTACCCTGTATCAGGTACTGTTACTTAATAAACAAAAGTTTTTCTCAGTTGGTTGCTCCTCTTCTTTGAACAAACCCTGTTCACATGTGGAGTAGTTCATTTGAACACATAAAGAGAAGTGGAACTGCTGCACTAACCAGTTTTGCTAAGTGGATAGACCACCGGTCTGCAGACCAAAGGTTCCTATGTTTGATTCTCACAAGGGAATGTATCTTGGATGCAGGATACTCCCCAGCCCAGGCCCTGGATGGGGCTTGTGCAGGAGGCAACCAATCAACGTGTTTTCCTAACATCACTATTTCTCCCTGTCTTTTTCCTCTCTCTTCCACTTCTCTAAAAATCAATACAAAAATATCCTCGGGTGGGGATTTTTTTAGAAAAGAAGTAGATTGTTACTTCAAAGGTTTCATTCATTCAACAAACACATTACAGGCCCTTTACTTAGAACTGAATGCTGTCCTTGGTGCTGAGAAGACATCAGGGAACAAGAAAAAAATGTCATCCATGTGAGCTTGACCTTCTTCTGGGGGATATTACCGATTTTTGCGTGTTAAAACCCTGACTTCACTAACTGTCAGATCTCAGGCTCAGGAGCTGGGAGAGTCTATTGTGGAATGTGTGAGAGAAAACAGAGGTGCTCTAGACTCTGTCCCAGAACTCAGGGGAGAAGATGTGGAATCATTTTCCCATGACTGGGACCTCCAGGACAGAACATGCAGAGAGGGAGAGTCAGTGTCCTGGTGATAGTGTGGGCAGGGGAGGACACAGGTGCACAGAGTGCCTGGCATGCAGGGAAGGGATACCCAGGACCCAGTGTGCGCTATCACAGCCCCCGAAGGAGAGTGTGCCCGGAAGGAAGGTGTGAAGGGTCAGTATATCTAGGAGCTGAGGGCCCCCACAACTAGGAGCATGCTCTGAGTGGCTCAGCAGTGAGAGGGGAGTCCTGCCTGGGTCAGTGAGGATGCTGCTCCACCTCTGCCTCAGCTGAAACAAACTCTCCTTTACCCTAATACAGCGCTGCGTTCCTCAAGTTCAATATTCTGATATTACACATTGGGTACATTCTTGTCCATGTGAAAACAGAAGCGAATCCCCACAATAGCTCCTGAAAGATTTCATTTATCTTCCCCCTGGGAAGATGGGACCCACTGAATGGATGCCCAGCCAGTAGACATGCAAGAAAAGATGAGTTCAAATCACTTTGAAGTCAGCATCATAAATGTTTTTCCTCATGTTCTCGTGTTTAGATAATGCTTTCTTCTCCCGCACCTCACGCTTGCTCCGTGAGGTAGATCCAGATTTTGAGGTCTCAGGAGACTTTTTTGTTTTGTTTTGTTTTTTGGTTTGTTTGTTTTTGTTTTGTTTTTTATGTGTTTTTTTAATATATATTTTATTGATTTTTTTTGTACAGAGAGGAAGGGAAAGAGATAGAGAGTTAGAAACATCGATGAGAGAGTCATCGACCAGCTGCCTCTTGCACACCCCTCACTGGGGATATGCCCGCAACCAAGGTATTATACATGCCTTTGACCAGAATCGAACCCGGGACCTTTCAGTCCCCAAGCCGACGCTCTATCCATTGAGCCAAACCAGTTTAGGCAGGAGTCTAGGGTTTTGCCCAAACCCAGAAATCACCCTGTACATGGATCCAAGTCCACGCCCCATTAGCCTTCTCACACACACCCCCAAAGCCTGATGCCCCATCTGGATGCATGCTCTTCTGATGACGGCCTAAATGACTGTTTATACCCTCCTGTCTGTTTCATTTGTGTTTCAGTCATTTTTAGGCTGGGTCTATAGCTAATCCCTATTCCCAGCAGAGAACTGGCAAATGCAGGGATGTGTGACAAAGAGCAGTGCATGATTACAAGAGGAGCCTTCTGAGTTTTCTTCACCAAGATCCACAATACACAACACATTTCGCAGTGACTCCAAGACAAATGGCCCATGAAATCATACTGACCTTTTGCACATGTGATACAGCCTGGTATTTTCTGTTCTGTCCTGCAATGTGCTATGTTATTCCTTTGTAATTCATTAAAGACATGAAATTCTGCTCCCGTGACATACAGCATTCTACTGGTCTGTTCATGAGTTACAACCTGCGGCTGGGAAAGCCCTTCTACATGGTCCCTGTGTGTGTCCCAGGTGACTCCCTGCTCTGAGTCCTGTAGAGAAGGTGAAAGGAGGCCTGCTTTCTCAGACCTGGGTCTCCTGGCAGATAATGATTGTCTGCGGACTCAGGGCCTCCATACTGGACAGCACCACGTTCAGGCTTCACAGAACCCTGTTGGTCCCATTAAGGGACCTCCAGGTCAGTGCCCAGTGTGAGCACCCAACATGGCACCTTGTGGTTCCAGTTGTCTGTATCTGGAGCAGGCTAAGGGTGATTACTCAGTTCAGTGTATAGCAACTTGTTGGTCCCATGAGAATGACCTCTAGCAGGGTGACCTGGAAGCAGTGCAGCAGCCTTACGGGTGAGGCAGAGCTCTCTCCAACACTATCCATAACCAATGGTCCTTGCAAGAACCCTGGTCCCAAACAGTTCCCTCAAATATTAGAGAGCACTCCAAGTTTCACAGACTTCTCTATATGGTCTCTCGCTTGTTTTACAGAACCTGTCTAGTGACACAACACTGCATTTTAGGTGTAATTGCTCTAAATGAAGGACATATTCCCCTTCCTTGTGAAAAGCATCAAGTTCAGCATCCTCCTACACCTCCTGGCTGGACCATCAACTACACCAGTCAGTCATTAAGATTGCTATATTGACCTGACTGGTTTTGTTCAGTGGATAGAGCATTGGCCTGTGAACTGAAGGGTTGTGGGTTCCATTCCAGTCAAGGGCACATGCCCTGGTAGCAGGCTCATTCCCCAGTGGGGGGGCATGAAATGCAGCCAATCAATGATTCTCTTTTGTCATTGATGTTTCTATCTCTCTCTCCCTCTATCTTCTTCTCTGAAATCAATAAAACAAAATGAAACAAAAATTAAAACTTGTCACAAATGAAAGAACAGAAGAAATCTCCAGAGAGAGATATATGAAATGGAAGCAAGTAAACTACCTGATACAGAATTCAAAATAATGCCTCTAATGTTACTCAAGGATCTTAATGAGTGCTACAAGGGAATCAAAGAGAGCTTCAAGGGACTTAGTGAGACTTTCAAAAATCTTAGTAAAAATTACAAAGATATTAAAAAGGACTAATCAAATATTAAGCATACACAAGCTGAAATGAATGGTTTACAGGGAATCAACTGCAGAGTATAGGATTCTGAGAATGAAATCAACAATTTGGAATATGAGGACGAAAAAGAAAAAAATACCCAATTAGAAGAGCAAAAATTAAAAAATCCAAAATAATGAAGATAGTTTAAGTATACAAACATTTATATTATGGGGGTTCCAGCAGGAAAAGACAGAAGCAAGATATTGCAAGTCTATTTGAAGCAATAATGACAAAAATACCTGTTGAAAAAATAGACCTACAAGTTAAAGAAGTCCAGAGAGTTCAAAACAAGAGGAATCCAAAGAGGCTCACAACAAAAGGCATCATAATTAATATGCCAAGGGTTAAAGACTAAGATTATTAAAAACAGCAAGAGGAAAGCAGTTACCTATAAGGGAGCACCCATACTACTATCAACTGGTTTCTCAACAGAAACTTTGCAGGCCATAAGGGAGTGGCAAGAAATATTGTAAGTAAAGAATAAAGAGCAAGAATCTACAACCAAGATTACTCTACCCAGCAAAACTACCACTTAGAATGGAAGGTCAGATAAAGAGCTTCTCAGAAAACGAAAAGCTAAAGGAGTTCATCTCCATCAAAACAGTATTATTATACATAAAATATTGAAGGGTATTCCTAAAGAAGGAGGAGAAGGAGCAGGAGGAGGAGAATGAGGAGGAGGAGGAGGAGGAGGAGGAGGAGGAGGAGGATAAAGTTGACCAATAAAATGGCAATAAATACATATCTATGAACAATGGAAACGAAAAACCAAATTAAATGAAAAAGGAATCTAATGAACAAAATAAACTGACTAATCAAATAGAACCAGAGGCATGAAAACATGTAACACACTGATGAATCTCAGAGGGTAGGGATGGGCAAGGGGCAGAAAGAGATTAACCAAAGGGCCGAAACCGGTTTGGCTCAGTAGATAGAGCATCGGCCTACAGACTGGGAGGTTCCGGGTTCGATTCTGGTCAAGGGCATGTACCTTGGTTGTGGGCACATCCCCAGTGGGAAGCGTGCAGGAGGCAGCTGATCGATGTTTCTCTCTCATCGATGTTTCTAGCTCTCTATCCCTCTCTCTTCGTCTCTGTGAAAAATCAATAAAATATATTTGAGAGAGAGAGAGAGAGAGAGAGAGAGAGAGAGAGAGATTGATTAACCAAAGGTCTTATATGTATGTATGCATGACCTATGGACACAAACAATTGGGAAGTGAAGATCTGGAGTGTTGCTGGACCTGGGTGGAGAAAACAATGGCAAGAAAGGGGGGACATCTGTAACAGTATTAACAATAAATGTTTTTTAAAAACTAAACAACAACACTAGCCAAATGATTCAGTGGGTTGAAGGGTTGTTCTGGACATGCATAATGGTTGCGGATCTGATCCCTGGACCAGACACACACACACACACACACACACACACACACACACACACACACACACACACTGCTTGATGTTTCTCCCTCACCTTGATGTTTCTCTCCTGCACTATCCTTTCTCCCATCCTGTCTCTATAAAAAAAAATCAATAAGTATATCTTTGGAAGAGGTATTTATAAATAGAAGCACATATATAAAATTTTTAATTACAAAAGTAAAATTAAATACATATCATAAAAAGCAAAGCAGCTTACTAGTACACTTAGCAGAGCAGAGGAGGACTCAGGCCGATGGGAAAGAGACCACCTGGGCATGCCCACTGGGGAGCTAGGAGCGGCCCACTGCGCCTGCGCTGGGCCACCTGGCTGCAGGCGGGAAAGGCGGCGGCGGCAGCCATCTTGGAAGGCGTTCCAGACCCCATCGCTGGCCTCACCACCCTCTCCGGCTCCGCGACCGCTGTGTTACCCTCAGAGGCGGTAAGGGTAGCAGGGGCCCCATATTGCACTGAGGGGTGTCTCTGCTCCGGGCTGACCTGGCCCCGCTTCCCCCGCGGACCTTCTCTCGGCCGGCCGGACAGAGGGGCGTCACGGAGGGACGGGAGCCTCCGGATGCTCCAGCGGGGTCTCCGCGGGCCCAACAGCGGGGACGGGCCCGGGCTGAGGGTCTGCACGGCGCTCTCTCGCTCTCTCTCTCTCTCTCTCTCTCTCTCTCTCTCTCGGCTGCTCGGCAGAGCAGAACGAGCGCTGCCCCCGGCCGGCCGTCCGTCCGTCCGTCCGTCCGTGAGGAGCCGCCATGCTGCTCCTCCTCCGGCGGCAGACCCCGCACTGAGCGGCCCGCAGCCCGGGCCGGTGTCACGGGAGCTGGGAGCCACCACAGGGCTCTCGGGCCTCCCCTGTGCCCTCCCCCTTCCGGGCTGCATGCCTGTGGGGCCATGTGCACCGCAGGCCCGGGGTCGGGGTGAGGCACGCGGTTCGGGGGAGACACCCGGGTAACCGGGAGGTGGCCCCGCCATTGGCTATCCGGGCGCTGAGCCTTCCCCCGTGGCTGCTCCAGTCCGTCCCCCCACCTCTGCCTCCAGCCCCAGCCCTCCCTCCGCCCCGTCTGCTGTCGGTGCCCACGGTCCGAGTCCGTGTCCTGTCCTCGCTGACGGTCCTCTGCAGCCACCTGCCCGGGAGAGAGCGAGCACATGGTGCTTGTCCTCCCGGGACCAGGCTCGTCAGCACAGCCTCTGCATCTGTGCTCCTGCCGGCGGGGAGCGTGCTCCTGCCCGGCGGGGAGCGTGCTCCTGCCCGGCGGGGAGCGTGCTCCTGCCCGGCGGGAATGCGCTCCTGCCCGGCGGGAATGCGCTCCTGCCCGGCGGGGAGCGTGCTCCTGCCCAGCGGGAATGTGCTCCTGCCCGGCGGGAATGTGCTCCTGCCCGGCGGGGAGCGTGTGCTCCTGCCCGGCGGGGGGGAGCGTGTGCTCCTGCCCGATGGGAAGGTTCCTTCTTCTTGTGCCGAGTGCCTTCCGTGGCAGACGGCACCCCGTGTTCCATCCACCGTCTACCGGTCGGCACGTGGGTGAGAATGGCCGTCCTCTTGGCCTGGGAAACCCTCCTGAGACCCCAGTGCCCTCACTCAGGGGAGCCCGGCACCTGCCCTGAACCCTCCCTTCTCGGCAGGCAATGGATATGTGAATGGTCCTGGGGTCTCAGGGAGCCCAGCCCTCTTGGCCCTCCCCGTTTCCAAAGGACCCGGGACTGGCCTCCACCTCACTCATCGGAGTAGTCTTCATTTGCTTGCAGCAGGAAAACCCCACATGCCTTTGCCGGAGTCCACACCACATGGTCCCTGGGCTTCCCTCCCAAGGCCTTTGGCAGCAAAACACACCCTCAGTAACACAGCGCCCCCAGTTGCTGCCTGCACAGCAGGGGCTTGTTATTTTTCCTTCAGGAAGCACTTTCCAGACAAACGACCCCCTGGCAACAGTAAAAAAAAACGGCCTGAAAGCCAGGGACCCTTGGAACCTGTCCTCCCAAACAGTTGCTCTCCCAGAGACCTCGGCCCTTTTCTCCTCTCACCTCCCTCAGGGACCAACAAGGCAGGATGGAGAACAGAAAATATGTGGTTTATTGCTCACCCTATTACGGAGGTCCCACACTTCCCCCACTAAGACCCCCTCCACCCAGTGCCCCCTCTCTGCTCCCCTAGCCTTGAGCACACTGATGCCTGGGACCATGTGCTCTGCATGTGTTTTCCTTGGTTACTCCCTTCACCGTCTTTATCCAGCCGCAACCCACCCACCTCCCCTCTCTCCTTTGTCAGTGTTTTCCACGTATCCATGCCTCTGGTTTTATGTTGTTCATTAGTTTATTTTGTGCGCTGGATTCCACATGTGTGTGAGATCATGTGGAATTTGTCTTTCTCTGACTGGCTTATTTTGCTTACCATAATAATCACCAGGTCCATCCATCCTGTTGTAAAGCAAAAGAGTTCCTTCTTTTTTTACAGACATGAAGTATTTTACTGTGCAAATGTACCACAGCTTCTTTATCCACTCATCAGTTGATGGGCACTTGGGTGGGCTGTTTCCCCATCTTGGCTGTTGTAAGGAATGGTGCTGTAAACACAGGGGTGCAAATATTCCTTCTGATTGGTGTTTCTGGGTTGGTAGGATAAATTCCAAGAAGTCGGATCACTGGATCAAATGGCAGCTTCACTTTTAAGGCTTTGAGGAAACGCCAAGCTGTTCGCCACAGTGGCTGTTCCAGTCTGCATTCCCACCCGCTAGGCAATAGGGTTACCTTTCTCCACATCCTCACCAGCAGTTGTTTGTTGTGTTACTGATGGTAGCCATCCTGGCAGGAGCGCAGTGATAGCTCATTGTGGCAAAGGCAGAATCTTAATTCCAGGACACTCTGAGCTTGATCCTGCTCAGGGCTTCATCCCCAAAGACTCTGGGCTGGTGACCTCAGAGACTCTGTTGTACCCTTCCAGATCACAGCACACCCAGAGGCATGAGCAGAGACAGCTCCTTCGATAACAACCCCATGGAGGACTCCCAGGATTCAGAGGAGACAATGGAGGTGAGGGCACTGGAGGATATCCAGAAGAGACAGGGCACAAGGCACAGGGCAGGGTGACTACATTTCTGAGGACATGAGGTCACAGACAGGGAGGCCAGCCAGCAGTGTTCCATGGTGGGTGGAGATCCCAAGCCTCAGGAGCTTCCCACCCTCACGTGGCATTTGCCTAGCGTCCCTGAAGTAAACAAGGCCTGTGACCTTGGCTGCACTTGGTGACTCTCAGTCCATTCTGGAAGGTGGGAGGAGAGCCCACCAGCAGCATGGATCACCTGCTGCATGCAGGGGAGAGGCTGAGCCTGGTTACCCTTGTCCTCTCAGTTCCCTGTGACATCACCAGGGGGAACTCTTAGCTCCAGTTTGCAGGTCCAACACAGGTTCTGCAGCGCAGGAAGAGGACAGGCTAAAGGGCAAACATTTTCACCTGAGCGGCTGCAGGGATTCATTTATTTCTCCTTTTCCTAGCAATTCGATGAGGTTCGCCAATATTTCTCTGAAGAAGAGTGTGCAAAACTGGGACGTTTAGGCCAAAAAATTTGTGTGTACATGAAGAAAAACTATGAGTACCTGATTGGGCAAGGTAACAGGAACTTTCTGGGTTTAGACATGCCTGGGAACACAAGACCATTCTTCTTTCCCTTTATTTTTTAGTGTTTTTTTTTAATTTCTTTATTGATTAAGGTATTACATATGTGTGTTTGTTCTTACTCCCCAATCCCCCCATTCATGCCCTCACCCCACTGGTGTCTGTATCCATTGATTGGGTTTATATGCATGTATATAATTCCTTTGGTTGATCTCTCCCCCTTATCCCCACCGTTCCCTACCTCCCTGAGGTTTAACATTCTGATAGATGCTTCTCTGTCTCTGGATCTGTTTTTGTTCATCAGTTTATGTTGCTCATCATATTCCATAAATGAGTGAGATCATGTGATATTTATCTTTCTCTGACTGGCTTATTTCACTTAGCATAATGCTCTGCAGCTCCATCCATGTTGTTGCAAATGGTAAGAACTTTTTTTTTACCGCAGTGTAGTATTCCATTGTGTAGATGTACCACAGTTTTTTAATCCAGTCATCTGCTGATGGTCACTTAGGCTGTTTCCAAATCTTAGCTATGGTGAATTGTGCCACTATGAACTTAGGGGTGCATATATCCTTTCTGATTCATGTTTCTAGTTTCTTGGGATATATTCCTAGAAAGTGGGATCATTGAGTCAAATGGGAGTTCCATTTTTAGTTTTTTCAGGACACTCCATACTGTTCTCCACAGTGGTTGCACCAGTGCGCATTCCCACCAGCAGTGCACAAGGGTTCCTTTTTCTCCACATTCTCGCCAGCATTTGTCATTTACTGATTTGTTGATAGCCATTCTGACAGGTGGGATATAGTACCACGTTGTTGTTTTGATTTACATCTCTCAGATGATTAGTGACTTTGAGCATGTTTTCATGTGTCTCCTGGCCTTCCTTCTGGCTTCTTTCGAAAGTATCTATTTAGATCACTTGCCCATTTTTTTATTGGGTTGTTTTTTTAAATATATTTTTATTGATTTTTGAGAGGATGGGAGATGGGTAGGGAGATAGAATCATAAATGATGAGGGAGGATTACTGGTCATCTGCCTCTTTCACGCCCCATACTCGGGCTTGAGCCCACAACCCTGGCATGCACCCAGACTAGGAATCAAACTATGACTTCCTGGCTCATAGGTCTATGCTCAACCACTGAGTCATGCTGGCTGGCCCCTCTTTCCCTTTAAATGGCTTCTTAGGCTCAGCAGAATCTACCCCATTTCATTTGTGCAGAGAGAAATCCCTGGGCAGCCTCAGAACCTTCTTTTTTTATTGTATCCTGAACAGGGCTCAAGGTCAGGAGTCGCCACAGAGATGCTCATACCTGGACCCTGCATTTTCACTCCCAGTGGCCTTGTTCCATCCCCGCACCTCATAACCTTTCCTGTCCCTGTTCCCTCCCTGCAGCCACCCTCCTCTCAGGTTGTCTCTTAAGCTTCTATTTTGCTTCTCCCAGGTCTCATCAACACCGTTACAGGTTCCATGCATCCAAATAATCAGACTACAGAAGCTTGTAAACATGATTCTGATGAAGCTCAGGACCCCGGGAATCATGGTTAGTAACAGGAAGAGCCTGGAAATAGTTCCTAAAGACCAACTTCTTTGAGATCCAGCTGCTCAGAAAAGGTTCTAGGGGGTCCTTCTTTTGCCACTTGTAAGCCATTTTATTTTACTTTTAATTTATTTTATTGTTGATAGTATTACAGATGTCCCCCATTTCAGCCCCTTTGCCTCCCTCCACCCCTCTCCCACCATCCCAGGCCTTCGCCTGTCTGTTTTCTGTGTGCATGTTCTGTGGCTGATTTGTACTTCTGCATCCCTTTACCTTTTTCATCCATCCCTGCAAACATCTGGCATCTGTCAAAATTTTCTCTGTATCTATGAATCTGTTTCTGTTCTTGTTCATTCATTTTTATTTTTAGATTCCATTGTGTCTATTGGTTATGCTTATATGCATGCATAGAAATCCTTTGGTTGATCTCTTCCCCTCCCCCCCCCATCCTTCGCTGCTTTCCCACTATAATTTGACAGTCTGTTTGGTTCAATGCTTCTTTGTCTCTGTATCTATATTTGTTCATCAATTTATGATGTTCTTTTTATTCCACAAATGAGTGAGATTGTGTGATATTTATCTTTCTCTGACTTTTTTTAAAATTTATTTTATTGATTTTTTACAGAGAGGAAGGGAGAGAGATAGCTAGAAACGTTGATGAGAGAGAAGCATGACCAGCTGCCTCTTGCACACACCCCACCGGGGATGTGCCTGCAACCAAGGTACATGCCCTTGACCAGAATCGAACCCGGGACCTTTCAGTCTGCAGGCCAACGCTCTATCACTGAGCAAAACTGGTTTCGGCCTCTGACTTTTTTTACTTAGCATAATGCTCTCCAGGTCCATCCATGCTGCTACAAATGGTAAGAATTCCTTCTTTTTTCTAGCAGCATAGTATTCCATTGTGTAGATGTACCACAGTTTTTTAATCCACTCATCTGCTGATGGGCATTTACTCTATTTCCAAATCTTAGCTATGATGAATTGTGCTGCTATGAACACATGTTTTCATGTGTCTCCTGGCCTTCCTGATTGGTGCATATGTCCTTTCTGATTGGTGTTTCTAGTTTCTTGGGATATATTTCTAGAAGTGGGATTACTGGGTCAAAAGGCAGCTCCATTTTTAAATTTTTGAGGAAATGCCGTACTGTTCTCCACAGGGGCTGCACCAGTCTGCATTCCCACCAGCAGTGCATCTTTTTTTCTCCACATAATCCCCAGCACTTGTCCTTTGTTAATGATGGCCATTCTGGCAGGTGTCAGAGGGTACCTCATTGTTTTGATTTTCATCTCTTGGATGATTAGTGACTTCGAGCATGTTTTCGTGTGTCCCTTGGTCTTCTGTGTGTCTTCTTTCAAAAAGTGTCTAATTAAGTCCTTTGTCCATTTTTTTTTTATTGGATTGTTTATCTTCCTTTGTTTAAGTCATATGAGTTCCTTGTAAAAGTTGGAGATTAAACCCTTATTGGAGAAACATTGGCAAATATGTTCTCCCATCCAATGGGATTTTTTGTTGTTTTGTTGATGGTTTCTTTTGCTGTGCAGAAGCTTTTTATTTTGATGTAGTCCCTTTTGTTTATTTTCTCCTTAGTTTCCCTTGCCTTAGGTACTGTATCAGTAAAGTTATTGTTACAACATGTTTGATATTTTGCTGTCTATGGCTTTTTCTAAGATTTTTATGGTTTCTGATCTTACGTTTAAGTCCTTTGGCAATTTTGAGTTAATTTTTGTATATGGTGTAAGTTGCTGGTCTAGTTTCATTTCTTTGCATGTATCTGTCCAATTTTCCCAACACCATTTATTGAAAAGATTGTCTCCACTGTAAGTTCTTGCCTCCTTTGTCAAATATTAATTGAGCATAATGGCTTGGGTTGATCTCTGGGTACTCCGTTATGTTCCACTGGTCTATTTGTCTGTTCTTGTGCCAGTGCCAGGCTGTTTTGAGAACAGTGGCTTGGTAGCATAGCTTGATATCTTGCATTGTGATCCCTCCAACATTTATTCTTTCTTAAGATTACTGCAATTATTCGGGGTCTTTTTTTTTCAGGGTCTTTTTTTATTCCAGATGAATTTTTGGAGAATTTGTTCTATGTCTTTGAAGTATGCCGTTGGTGTTTTAATGAGGATTGCTTTGAATTTATAAATTGTGTTGAGTAGTATGGACATTTTAATGATGTTGATTATACCAAACCATTAACATGGTATATTCTTCCATTTGTTCATGTCTTCCTCTATCTCTTTTTTTAGTATCCTGAAATTTTCTGAGTATAGGTTTTTTGTCTCCTTGGTGAAGTTTATTCCTAGGTACCTTAATTATTTAGTTGCAATGGTAAATGGGACTGCTTTTTTTTAAAATATATTTTATTATTTTGAACAGAGAGGAAGGGAGAGAGATAGAGAGTTAGAAACATCGATGAGAGAGAGAGTCATCGACCAGCTGCCTCTTGCACACCCCCTACTGGGGATATGCCCGCAACCAAGGTACATGCCCTTGACCGGAATCGAACCCAGGACCTTTCAGTCCCCAAGCCGACACTCTATCCATTGAGCCAAACCGGTCTCGGCGGGACTGCTTTTTTTAATTTCTCTTTCTGTGAGTTCATTATTGGTGTGTAGAAAAACCATAGACTTCTGGGTGTTAATTTTGTATCCTGCTACAATGTTGAATTGATTTTTTAAGTCTAGTAGTTTTTTCTGATGGAATCTTTGGGGTATTCTATGTATAATATCATGTCATATGCAAATAAGGACAGTTTTACTTCTTCTTTTCCAATATGGATGCCTTTTAGTTCTTCTTGTCTGATCGCAATGGCTAATACTTCCAGTACCATGTTGAACAGGAATAGTGAGAGTGGACATCCCTGTCTTGTTCCTGTTTGTAGGGGGATGGTTTTAGTTTTATCCCATTGAGTATGATGTTGGCTGTGGGTTTGTCATATAATGCTTTTATTATGTTGAGGTATGATCCTTCTATTCCCACCTTGCTGATAATTTTTATCAAGAAATGATGTTTGACCTCTAACCAGTTTGGCTCAGTGGATAGAGCATCAGCCTGCGGACTGAAAGTTCCCAGGTTCTATTCAGGTTAAGGGCCTGTACCTTGGTGGTGGGCACATCCCCAGTAGGAAGTGTGAACTAGGCAGCTGATAGATGTTTCTCTCTCATCTATGTTCCAAACTCTCTATCTCTCTCCCTTCCTCTGTAAAAAAAAAAAAAATCAATAAAATATATTTTATAAAAATTATCTCTAAAAAGAAAGACATAAAAAAGAAAGGATATTAGCTTTTTCTGCATCAATGGATATGATTATATGATTTTTATCTCTAGATTTATTTATGTGATGTATCACATTTATTGATTTGCGGATCATCCTTGATTTGTGGTGTATCATCCTTGCATCCCCAGAACAAATCCCACTTGGTCGTGGTGTATGATCTTTCTAATGTAATGCTGGATCTGATTGCTAGAATTTTGTTGAGAATTTTGGCATCTATGTTCATGAGGGATATTGGCCTGTAAATATCTTTTTTTTTTTTTTGTAGTGTCTTTATCTGGTTTTGGGATTGGAGTAATGCTGGCTTCGTAGAAAGAGCTTGAAAGTTTTCCTTCCTCTTGAATTTTTTGGAGTAGTCTGAGAAAGCTAGATTTTAGTTCTTTGAATGTTTGATAAAACTCCCCTGTGAAGCCATCTGGTCCAGGGCTTTTGTTTGTTGGAAGTTTTTCTTTTATTGCTGTTTTAATTTCCCCCACAGTTATCAGCCTATTCAGATTCTTTTATTCTTCCTAATTCACTTTTGGAAGGTTGTATTTTTCTAAGAATATGTCCATTTCTTCTAGGTTGACCAGTTTGTTGGAATAAAATTGCTTATAGTATTTTTTATGATGCCTCATATTTCTGTGTGGTCTGTTGTCATTTCGCCACTTTATTTCTGATTTTGTTTATATGGGTCCTCTCTCTTTGCTTCTTGCTGGTCCTGGCTAGAGGTTCATCAATCTTGTTTATTCTTTCAAAGAACCAGATCTTGGTTTCATTGTTCTTTTGTAATGTTGTCTCTTGTTTTTGGTTCTATGTCATTTATTTCCACTCTGATCTTTATTATTTCCTTCCTTCTGATCACTCTGGGCTTTTCTTCTTGCTCTCTTTCTAATTCTTCAAGTTGAAGAGTTAGATAATTTATTACCAGTTTTTCTTGTTTTTTTGAGGTAGGCTTGTAAAGCTATGAACTTCCCACAGTGAAAAGCCACTGGAAATGGCTTGGATGAGCCTGCAAGTAAGGAGGGGCAGAGTCTCAGAGGATCACCAGGGTGGGTCAGAAAGTGTGATCCAGATATGGTTCAGATATGGTATAGAGACTCAGATATGGTTCCCTTCCCTGCCTGCTGGCTCTGTGGCTGGAGGGATCAGAAGAGGAACAATGTCCTCTGCCAGGATTTCTGTCTGGGAGAAAGCTGCTCCCGTCCTCATTTCAGGTAAGTTACTTTCATCCCGAATGTCCCAGGTTCCTTTGAAGCTGCTGCCCCAGTGCTGGAGCTCCTGGGATCCAGGGAAGATGAGACTAATCCCTGGCTTGGCAGACTGAGGGAAAGAAAGAACGACATAGTCTATGAAGAGATCAGTGACCCAGAGGAAGATGACTAAGTACGTAAGTGGTCTTTGCTTCCAGCCCACACCACTGCAAACCACACTGTTCTCATAGTCACACCTTGTCATTCCTTCCCAAAATCGTTCCTTAGCCAAGACCCTTGGAGTGCAGCATTGACACTAAATGACCAGGCTTCCCTCCCTCTTTCTACTCCCTGCTCTGTGTAGCAGGGATCTCCCTACCCAGGATGCCCTGGGCCTCCCCTCTGGTCAGCCCCTGAACTATAGGCCTCAGCTGCCTCTAGCCTAGCAACTCATACAACAGGTGAGAGTCCGTGTGGCATGAGCAGAAGATTCACTTTGAGGAGCGGTGGGCGATGTATGCAAACATGAGGTGGGGAGGAATCTGAGTGCTCAGGATTCTGCAATCAGATGAGGGGCTGGGTATTAACGATCAGGCAAGCGGAGCTCACTGCCACTTCTCTCTACTTGTCTCCACCTCAGGGATGTGACATGTGCCCATGGAAAGAAGCAGAACCTGGTGGCCCTTCGTGACATGGGCACGACTGTGAACTACTGGCCATCAGGGGTGCAGCGCACACACACACACACACACACACACACTACGGTTTGACTGTGGGCATCTTCTATTTACTTTCTCTACTAAGTGTTCTGGGCATGTTCCTCTTGTTCTGTTCTGCAGTTGTTCTGTATTGCAAACCCCAACTACTCATTTACCCTGTATCAGTTACTGTTAGTTAATAAACAGTTGATTGCTCCTCTTCTTTTTATGCACAAACTCTGTTCACATGTGTGAGTGGTTCATTTGTACACATAAAGAGAAATGGAATTGCTGCATCAAAGATTTCATTTGTTCAACAAACACCTAAGAGCCATATACTGGGTACTGAGCGCTGTCCGTGGTGCTGAGAAGACATTAGGGAACAAGACACAAATATCCTTACCCACCTGAGCCTGACCTTCTTCTGGGGGATATTACTGGTTTTTACGTGTTGAAACCCTGACTTCACTAACTGTCAGATCTCAGGCTCAGGAGCTGAGAGAATCTATTGTGGAATGTGTGAGAGGAAACAAAGGTGCTCTAGACTCTGTCCCAGAACTCAGGGGAGAAGATGTGGAATCATTTTCCCATGACTGGGACCTCCAGGACAGAATATGCAGAGAGGGAGAGCCAGTGTCCTGGTGATGGTGTGGGCAGGGGAGGACACAGGTGCACAGGGTGTGTGGGAGAGTGCCTGGCATGCAGGCAAGGGAGACCCAGGACCCAGTGTGTGCTATCACAGCCACCGAAGGAGAGTGTGCCCGGAAGGAAGATATGAGGGGTCAGTATATTTAGGAGCTGAGGGCCCCCACAACTAGGAGCACGCTCTGAGTGGCTCGGCAGTGAGAGGGGAGTCCTGCCTAGGTCAGTGAGGATGCTGCTCCACCTCTGCCTCAGCTGAAACAAACTCTCCTTTGCCCTAATACAGCGCTGAATTCCTCAAGTTCAATATTCTGATATTACACATTGGGTACATTCTTGTCCATGTGAAAACAGAAGCGAATCCCCACAATAGCTCCTGAAAGATTTCATTTCTCTTCCCCCTGGGAAGATGGGACCCACCGAATGGATGCCCAGCCAGTAGATATGGAAGAAAAGACCACTTCAAATCACTTAGCAGTCAGCACCATAAATGTTTTTCCTCAGGTTCTGTGGGTAGACAATGTTCCCTCTCCGCCCCCACTCCCCCCTCCATCTGCTCCGTGAGGCAGGTCCAGATTTTGAGATCTCAGGAGACTAGGGTTTTGCCCAAACCCAGAAATCACCCTGTACATGGATCCAAGTCCACGCCCCATTAGCCTTCTCACACACACCCCCAAAGCCTGATGCCCCATCTGGATGCATATGCTCTTCTGATGACGGCCTAAATGACTGTTTATACCCTCCTGTCTGTTTCGTTTGTGTTTCAGTCATTTTTAGGCTGGGTCTATAGCTAATCCCTATTCCCAGCAGAGAACTGGCAAATGCAGGGATGTGTGACAAAGAGCAGTGCATGATCACAAGAGGAGCCTTCTGAGCTTTCTTCACCAAGATCCACAATACACAACACATTTCGCAGTGACTCTAAGACAAATGGTCCGTGAAACCATACTGACCCTTTGCACATGTGATACAGCCTGGTATTTTCTATTCGTCTGCGGTGCGCTGTGTTATCCCATTGTAGTTCATTAAAGACATAAAATTCTGCTTCAGTGGCATACAGCATTCTACTGGTCTGTTCATGAGTTACAACCTGCCGCTGGGAAAGCCCTTCTACATGGTCCCTGTGTGTGTCCCAGGTGACTCCCTGCTCTGAGTCTTGTAGAGAAGGTGAAAGGAGGCCTCTATTTTTCTCTGAGGCAGTTTCTTGTGAAATGGTGACCGTGAGACTTATTTCTCCCCTGGGCCAGGCCTGACCAGGGGTGGTCGTGGATGGGGGAGGCATCTCTGGTGTCTGGGCAAATACTCCAGTGTTTCTTTTTAGTGTCATGCTACTACCACAGTCATAACACTTCTGGCTTTTCCCTCACACTAACCTATTCTCTAAAATAGTGGTTCTCAACCTTTCTAATGCTGCGACCCTTTAATACAGCTCCTCATGTGGTGACCCCAACCATAAAATTATTTTCATTGTTACTTCATAACTGTCATTTTGCTACTGTTATGAATTCTAATGTAAATATCTGTGTTTTCCAATGATCTTAGGCGACACAGGTTGAGAACTGCTGCTCTAGAGCCTAAGACCACTCCCTTCATCTTTTCCATCTATCCCTCCAGTCCCCTCCCCTCTGACACCTGTCAGTCTGTTCTCTAAGAGTCTGATACTATTTTGTTTGTTAGTTTGTTAGTTCATTTTGTTCATTAGATTCCACATATGAGTGAAATCATATGGTACTTATCTTTCTCTGACTGGCTTATTTCATTTTGCATAATGCTCTCTGGATACATCCATGCTGTTGCAAAAGGTAACATTTCCTTTTTATGGCCGAGTAGTATTCCACTGTGTAAATGTACCACAGCTTTTTATCTACCCATAAGGTATATTTTAGAATCTGATGGTCAAGCTCCATGATTTTTTAAAAACTCTATTGGGATTCTGATTGGAATTCCCTTGAATTTATAGATCAATTGGGGGGGGGGGGAGATAATGACATATTTACATTGCCAAGTCTTTCCATCCAAGAACCTGGGCTATGTCTCCATTTTTAAGGTATTTTGTGTTTTCTGTAATGTTTTATTATTGGTTGCATCCTCAGTTTGTACATTTTTTTGTTCGATTTAGTTTCTGTTGTTAATCTCTATTTCTCACAAGAACCTATAAGGGCGGTGGGAACCTGAGGATCAGAGAAGCGCTCAGCCCCTGCTATCCCATTGACACCTGAAGGAACTGTTAGAGAAAACAGATCTTCAGTTTCTCCATTAGAGACAGAGGGTTGGAGGGGCACTGCTAGGGGTGTATGACCTTTACCCTGAAAATCAGCCAACCAACCACATAAGAAGCACAGTCATCATAACTTTTCTACTTTTGATGGAACAATAGACTTTAAAAATCAGGAAAGTACTGGATGGGGGACAGAGAAAGAAAGAAAACTGGGCCGAAACCAGTTTGGCTCAGTGGTAGAGCGTCGGTTTGCGGACTGAAAGGTCCCAGGTTTGATTCCGGTCAAGGGCATGTACATTGGTTGCAGGCACATGCCCAGTAGGGGGTGTGCAAGAGGCAGCTGGTCGATATTTCACCCTCATCGACGTTTCTAGCTCTCTATTCCTCTCTCCTTCTCTCTGTTAAGAAAGGAAGGAAGGAAGGAAGGAAGGAAGGAAGGAAGGAAGGAAGGAAGGAAGGAAGGAAGGAAGGAAGAAAGAAAGAAAGAAAGAAAGAAAGAAAAAGCTGGGAAACAATGAGAAAACTACACTGGCTCCATAATATTGCCTACCCTGTTTCCCCGAAAATAAGACAGTGTCTTATATTAATTTTTGCTCCCAAAGATGCGCTAGGTCTTATTTTCAGGCGATGTCTTATTTTTCCATGAAGAAGAATACGGTACACATTTATTGTTAAATGAAAATAAAGGAAATTTATTACCTGTATACGGTATAGTAGTACGGTAGTTGTCAACACAAACCAGACAAACTGTGAATCCTACAGTATCAAGAATTTACTCATTTATTCAATGACAATCATGTCATCATCTTCTGGAACATCGTCATAACAATCCAATTCCTGAATTTCCTGGTGAATTTCTTGTGACTCCATTTCTTTCAGAATCAGTGAACCAAATCTCTCATGTTTAGCCTGGGGGGGGGGGCTTATTTTCGGGGGGATGCCTTATACTTCACTCAGAAGGAAACCTATAAGTAGGTCTTATTTTCGGAGGATGTCTTATTTTTCGGGGAAACACGGTAGATTTAGTCCAGTTCATTTCACTCTGTTGGCTTTATTAAGATTTATTCTTTCTTAGGGAAGCATGTGCTTATTAGAACATTGTTTTTGCACCAATGATATTAGCCAATGGTGCTTTGAGCAACATATGTGTTTTATAGTTTTATGTGAATATTATATTCATAAAACGTATGAATCAAGATATCACTGTATGGGACCTGGTTCAGACACTATATAAGAGGGTGGGACACGCTGACCATCCTCTTTCCTTTAGGGTGATTAACCAGGTAACAGATAGGCTGAAGTAGTTCCCTCTTTACACATGTGCTTCTTTCCATTATTTCTGCGATGGGTTGAGGGTTCCTCAGACCCTGATGTGCTCCTTTCTTGGCATTCTCCACACCTATCTTAAGGAGCCCTTCCTAGGTAGTAGGTAGGAAGTTCAGTCATTAAAGGTTATTAGAGTGCCACCTGCTGGTGTAAGAGTGTTATAGGCCCAACTAGCCCTTTAGTTCTGGGGGTAGTTCATGCTTTTTCCATCCATTTATGCTCTGCTTTGAGTTTCTCTGGATATACTCTTATCTTCTTAGTTGATTCCTCCTGCTTATTTTGGCTTCTGATTCCTTTCACCCTTTTATA